CATTATGAAGTGATTGATTATATTCTTCGGCCATATTTTCTGAAAATGATGAGGATACCCTACAAAGTCTACCACTTAATGTACGTGAACACATTCTCATGCACATGTAGAAATAGAATAAAAAAGAAGAAGAAAACAAAAGAAGAAGAAACAAGAGAAAAGAAACAAAGTTATATACAAGAAAAATAAAAGGAGAAAATAAAATAAAAACTATATTTTGTACAAGAACTTACCTCCCCAGCAACGGCACCAAAAACTTGACACGACCAAAAGTGTGATGACTTCTTCCAAGTGCAGGAGTGTCAAAATAATAAATAACCCGGTAAGACCGAGGTCGAATCATAGAGAGGTTAATTGTATAAATTATAAATAACAATAATACAACAACAACAACAATAACAACAACAATAGTAACAATAATAACAATAATCATAATAACTGTAGTAGTAGTAGTAGCAGTAGTAGTAGCAGTAATAATAGTAAAGAAGATATATTTGTTATTTATTTAGATATCTTGGTTTTCCAATAAAGATCCATGCTTTTTCTTTTTTTCTTTGCATTTTTGTATTATTCAAGTTTTATATCATGTTATATTATTAATCTTTTATTTATACTTATCATTTTCTTTATTATGCTTATATATTTTATATCATAGCTATTTTCTTATCTATTTTTTAATTATGATTAGTTAAATTTATTTTTGCCAAGGTGAAAAGGTTACATTAATGGTGTAAGAATAAATATAGTACAAACTCAACAGGTACTTTAATATTTAAATTTAAAAAAGTTTGATATTAACATGTGTTAAAATTATTATCTTAATTAATCTTAATACCTTCTTGTTAAGTGGCGAGTCTTGATTCCGAGTAATACTTGATTCTTTCATAGCCTACAACATGGAGAACTAACACCTATACTATGAAATGATCTTGATTTTTTGTTGATATAAGTTAACACTAACACCATGAACACTTGACAACATTTACAAGCATTGGTGTTACTCAAATAATATAATTAAATATTATTAATATGATTATGTTAATAATTTAAAATGAGTAATTAATGACAACATTTAGAAGTATTAGCGTTCCTTAAATGATATAATTAAAGATTATTAATATAATCATGTTAATAACTTAAAATTAGTCATTAATGATAATTCATCCTACTAGAATCTTCTTTCTGTATGGTTTTCATTTTAGTAATAGAAAGAGTTCAGACCATACTTAATTGAAATATTATTAATGGACCCTCTAATTTTGATAATTATTTTATCTTTATTAAATTTTTACATTAATATAACAGATTTTAGATCTTTTTAACTTCGTTTCTCTTATTAATTATGGTTTTGTAACCTTAACCTCTTTATGGATCAACCTCGATCCTAGTGAGTTATTTATTAATTTGATATTCTTACACTTGAAAAAATATATTAATTAATTGACCATGTCACTTACATTATTGTTACATTGCCAATAATAAAAAGAAAGTGTTTCTCTCCTTGTTAATAACCTGTCTTTGGATGAAATCGTTAAATGTCCTTGTTAAGTGATAACCTGTCTTTGGATGAAATCGTTAAATCTAAGATTTATATTAGTGATAAATAAAAAATCATCATATGCTATTGTTTCATGGGTTTACACTTAATACTCTCCTAGTTAGTGTTTTATAGAACTAATCAAAACAACTAAAAATTCAATTTATAACACTCAATTAAAGATTTTATAGACACATTAAAGATTTTGAAGACACGAGCTAATCAAGAAAACGATACCAGAAATGAATGCAAACATGAATATGAAAGCAAAATGGATATAAAAATGAAAATGTCAAAAACAAAAATGAAGTTCAGAAATTGACTCTATAAAACCTAAACCAATATAAACTCAAAATACCAACTAATAAAACCAACAAAATCAGCAGGATTTATATTGCAATATTTTCAAGCACTGAATTGAAGGATTGTAAGTTTTAATTTTGCAGTGTAACAAAAACTTGCAATTTCAACTCTGTCTCTTTATTTTTTTTAATGTACTAATTCTGAAGAATTTTTCTCCCTCTTAAGTTCTTTAAATTTTGCAGTGCCGTATATAGTAAGCGATAGAGACTCACTCTTCCTCGGTACCTCCTTAAAAGAATTTTTCTCTCTACAATGAGTTGACCTATGCTATTCCACAGTGTAAATCTGAAGCGGTGAATAGCACTTAACTTTCACCGGCCGAGTCAGTGGTGGGATAACACTTAACTTTCACTCCCCCACAGAGATGAAACCTTTTGAAGTTGTTTACTACTCCATATATACTCCTTACTAAAAGATTCACCCAGTGCTCCATGTGCCCTTGTTAAAGAAATTTTTCCCAGTCTAATATTCAACAGACACTTGAAGGAGTCTCAAGCTGTCCTCTCAAGATCACAGAGTCATCAACTTGCGATTCATTGGCATTCTGAAGCAACCGATGACATTGAACTTCGATTCCTTTCTTTTTTACTCTCGACGGGGGTGGGGGAGCGTTGATACGTACAACATGCTTGATAGGGAGGGGATGACGAGGGAAAACAAGGAGATTCAAGGGGGTGGTATCGAAAACGATCTCGTTTAATTTTATGTTTATAGAGTCGTTCATTTTTGTAGACTAATTTTCCAGGTAATTCATAGACATTGATTTTTCAGGACCTTGTGACTTAATTTATAAATTACTGACACGTGCTAATTTCTTTTCTACCTTCAGCAAATAATTTTTCCGTTTAATAATTACTCAATAAATATCAATCCAATCGACTTGAATAAATGCATTTCTTGGATAAATATTTTACTTGAAATATAATAAATATTACATTAATATTATCAATTCCAAATAAAATGTAACTTCTATATATATTATTTTCTGTTGAATAATAAAAGATATTTAAAAAATAAATACCCATGAAAAATACTGAGGAAGCTATAAACATCTAAATTTTTTTCACCTTAAATAATAAATAAAATACGAAACCCCATCCCTTGTCATCCCCGCATACACATACAAAGGTATACGACGCAGCATTGTTAGTGCTTTGGTTTTCAATACATAAAAAGGTAGATAGATGGAAATCACATTCAAAAATCCTAAATTCCTTTTCTTAATCACAAAGAAACTTGCAGGCGCCAACTAATTCTCTACAACATCTATAATGAATGAAAAATTAACAGAAAGTTGTCAAGTAACCGGCCTCAATTGCTTGCTTCAGCTCCCCGTCCTCATTCTCAACTTTTAGGCGGGCTCAACAATTTCCAAGAGCGAAAGAATGCGACCATTGCCCTCAGGCATGCAATCAGCTTCTATAAATGGTCCCTATGTTCTATGCTTTATTGTTTCGTATCTGGATTTTCATTCCTATCAGTATCAGAATTCTCCATCTGCGACTCACCCTCCCCTGCATGGCTTCTTTGGTGCCTCCGATCCTGAATTGTCCATCCAGAAGACACTTACAGGTTAATATTACGGCTACATCCACTCAATATGGATGCAAGACAATCTATATATTTCACAGAGCCAAAAAAAGAAAGAAAGATGCATCAGTGTTTAAAACTTTTCTCAGCAGTCCATGTAACAATTTTAGGCGGAAGCCAAGTGGTCACCGCAGTTTGAATTCTAAATAAGATCTCAGAATCAAACCTGTCTAGGCATAGGATACTCCTCTGATTCAAGCATGCGAACTACTTGACTCATCTTTGGTCTTTTTTCAGCATCTGGATCAACACATCTTAAAGCAGTTAGAAGACCCCGTTTAAGGGCACTTGTTGATGGTCGAGTCTCTATCATCGGGTCTACCACCTCTTCTGAGCGCCTTCTTGCAACCATCGTTTTCAACCATTCCACCAAGTTTACCTAAAAGAAGAATCATTTCAAGAGAATTGTTGAGGGTTGGATCCAGTTTATGTTTTCTACAACAACCAAATCCACATAAACAAGGAGTAGCAAAGAAGACTGCATGATGGAATGCACGGAGCTTCTAATTTACACCCCCAGATTCTTGCCTGCCTCTACATATGCATTGATGACATCACTCAAGAAAAGCTAAGATAATTTCAAGTTCTAGAGATTAAAATATGCCAATTACTGGTCCAAAGCAAGGGGCTTGCTGCTTTGATGTGGATTTGACTACTGTTCTGGAAGGGAACATTTATTGCATACCTCATTCTCAGGACGACCATGGTCCACTGGATCTCTCCCTGTAATTGCTTCCAAAAGCACGACTCCAAAGCTATAAACATCGCTTTTCTCATTCAAAAGGCCAGAATTTGCATATTCCGGAGCAACATAACTGAAGAATCATTGATCAGTACCAAAATCTTAGCATATGAAAGTCAAAGAATTAATATAGAGGAAAAGTGAAATGAAAGATTATTTTCTATCAATGGCAGAGGAGCTTTAATAATACAATGAAACTGGCCAAGAGAAAATAAGATTGAACCTGCATACCATTAATTTACATGTAGCTGATTGGAAGTACTCACCCAAAGGTACCCATAACTCTAGTAGTAATATGACTTTTTCCAGCACCCAGCAATTTGGCCAGACCAAAATCAGATAACTTAGCATTGAAGTAGTCATCAATCAATATGTTGCTTGATTTTATATCTCGATGCACCACTTTTGGCTCGATGGCCTCATGCAAGTAAGCCAACCTGCAACAAGCAATTGGGAGTGAGAATGATACAGAATGCAACATAAATGCAAACAACTAAAAATAAGGTGAAAATTGCACTTACGCCTTAGCAGTGCCAAGGAGAATTTTCATGCGAGCCTCCCAAGTAAGATACCCATGTTGGCGCATACCTCCATGGAGCCATTGCTCTAAATTGCCATTGTTGACATACTCATATACTAACATCCTGAAATTTATGGAGCAATGAGCAAATGCAAAAGGTAGAAGAAATGAAATGATAAAAGCAAGCACATTCTGGATCATCAATTTCAAGATATTTATAAGCAGTTTGATGCACATGAGACTAGACAAAACTGGGAAGTCATTCCATATTCTGTAGTTTTACATATGGCAACAAGATAAGAACACAAAACAATATAATAAAGAATTTTTGACTAAAATTGTAAATATAATAAACTAATTCATAAGATAAATGTCATTTATGTAAAATTAATTCATGAAATAAATTTCAATAATCCAGAAGTAATAATACTGCATTATGTTTCTAGTAAAACATCAAACTAGAGGCAGTTCTGTGACATTCAGTATGTTCACTGCAAACTTTCTATAAAGACACTTTGATAAAGAACTATTTTTCTTACCAAATACAGAGAAAACAAGAAAGGATATGATACCTCTGGGTTCCTTCCATGCAATACCCCAGAAGTCGAACAAGGTTTTTATGACGCACATGACCAATAGCCTCCACTTCAACTCTAAAATCTTTATCAGCTTGTCCTCTGTACAAGAAACATTAAAGAGACCGTGAATAAACTTCCAATCCTCAAAATAGTCTAGTTAAAATGTTATAGGATTATAAAACAAACTTGTACCACACTTACGGATTATTAAGGAGCTTCTTAACAGCCACAGGAGTTCCATTAATCAAATGACCCTGATAGACAACTCCGTATCCACCATCACCAATAATGTTGTCCTTGGAAAATCGGTTTGTTGCAACTTGCAGATCTCTGAGGGTAAACCAATGACCCCATCCCAACTGTGAAAATTCAGGCAGGCCAGACATAGGTGAAGGGGCAGTTATAGGATGAGAAGAAGGCTGGTTAGCGGAAGCCACCTTAGTGCCTCCCTCTTCTCCTGATTGAGACCCAACACCATCTTTCTCAACGTGATTTAAGGAGCCCGACTGGCTGCTATCATCACCATTTTCTAGTTGGATCAATACTTTCTCTGATTCTTTGTCACTGAACTTGTCATTAAGGCTGAGGAAACCATCATTATTTGCTGAATTTTGATCAATACCAATCTCTTTAATCTCCTCCGGAACCATAGGTATTTGGCTGATGGGAAGCATGTTATTGGACCTTCTCGGTTTCTTTCTAAAAGATAACCACAGGGAAACAAACAGAACAAATACACAAACCAATCCTAGACAGACCATAATTACTACCCAAAACTCCATGCCAATGTATTCCTTGGCCAGGCTCTTCTTAAGATCAGACGCCATTTCGTTTTGATACTGGTAATCCTGCAAACAAGGTCGAGAGGTAAACAAATTAAATTTAAGCACTACAAATCCCATGCATTCAACAAATTCAAATACGCATCCAGCATTTCACAACTAAAGAACAAGTATATTATACTGCGATCCAATTTTCACATCAACAAACAATAACCAAAAACCCTCCTTTCACATTAAACAGAAATGCCCAAGAAGTTTCACATAAAACCCGCAGCTAATAGTCAAAAAAAAAGAAGCCAAAATATACAAGAAGATGTCATGGCATGTCGGCAGGGAGAAAAAAAGAAGGAGAAAACGGAACGCCATAAACACAAGCACATTTCATTATTATTGAAAGTTGCAGCAAAATCATAATGGAGAAGGAAAGAAACACTTCAAAGTTCTAATAGTAATTAAAACGTCTCTCTCTCTCTCTCTCTCTCTCTATATATATATATATATATATATATATATATCAAATCACAAACCTGCCTTATCCCCAAACAAATTCCTTGCTGTAGCAGACAATAAAAGGCTTAGCTAAGAAACTGCAAAGCTCTAAACTTTCCTCTTTAAATCCAAACCACAATTGGAAATAAGCCAATTATCATTCACTAAAGCCACCCACATTGCAAAATTCTCTAAAAATAAGAGATTCTTGTAGGGTTGCCTAAAGGGTAAGAAGACGTAGAGCTGTCAATGGTAGGTACTGAGGAAGGACATGCTTTACATTATATATTTTTCTTTATTAACATATCACTCTCTTTATACGTGTAATGTGTGTACTGTAATAGAAGCATCAATTTAGAAGCTTGAAAAACTTTCTTTGCTGGTTTTTTTTTTTTAATTATTATTATTATTTATCTATTGAATTTTTTTAATACGGCCTTCAAGGGGACAATTAATCAGAAACTTAATTAAAGTATTGTTTTAAATAATAGAATCTAATGTGGGTGTTCATATTTTTGTTTTTTAAAGTTGGTTCACGTGACTGTACTTTTGCATTAATATATATATATATATATATTCTTTTTTATTTCAATATAAGTAAGATGAAGATATCAATATAAGTAAAATAGTGAAAATTGTTAATTCAATTCATTTCCAAATATATTTTAAATAATATAATTGAATTGAATTATATGGTTTAATATTTTATTTTTAAATATAAAAATTATATTGGATTATTAATTGAATTCAAAATTTGTTTAGGAATCAAATTTAATTTAACATGTGATTTAATTATAAATAGGCTCTTAATTTAGTTTTTTGGATTTATTACCGTACTATACTAAAATAATTAGGAAACTTAATAAAAGTATAGTTATCGAACTTGACCCGGGATTTAACTCGACCAAGGGACAGGGTCACAGGTTACACGGGTTAACTCGAAAAAATTAAAACAAGATATTTAAAATTTTAATATTTCATATGAAATTTTTTTAAAAACAATATGAATATAGGTTATATATGTTGTGAATAATGAAGTTTAAAAGAATATATCAAAAAGTTTTTTATCCCATATTGAAAAGATATTATGTTATTTTTTTTTAAGTTTAAGTATTTAAACCAAATTTTTTATTTTATATTAAAAAAATATAATTTTTTTTCTTGTGAACATAAAATATATACACTAAAAGACTTTAAATCTCATATTGAAAAAATAAATTTTTTTCATAGGAACATAGATTATATATTCTAAAAGGCTTCAAATTTTGTATTATAAAAATAATTTTTTTCTTATAAATATAAAGTATATATACTAAAGGGCTTCAAATTATTCAAATCTTACATTTAAAAGATATTATTGTATCTTGTTAAGTTAAAGTATTTAAACCAAAAAGTTTTTTATTGCATATTGAAAAAATATAATTTTTTTTTGTGAACATACAGTATATATATTAAATGGCTTCAAATTTCAAATTGAAAAAAAAAACTTTTTTTTTTTAACATAAAATATATTTACTAAAGAGTTTCAAATTTCACATTGAAAATATAATTTTTTTATAAACATAGAGCATATATACTTTCAAATAATTCAAATCTCATATTGAAAAGATATTATGTTATCCTTTAAGTTGAAGTATTCAAACCAAAATTTTTTTTATCCATCATAGAGAAGATATAATTTTTTTCTTATAAATATAGAATATATATACTAAAAGGTTTCAAATTTCATATTGAAAAAATAACTTTTTTTAATATAAAATATATATACTAAAGAGTTTTAAATCCCACATTAAAAATTTAAGTTTTGTTGGGTTTTTACAATAGTCGGTCTTTTGCCTTGTTTGGAGGTCTAGCCACCGGGTCAACTCGTTAATAACTATGAATAAAAGTGAATCTCTTTTATTTTATTTTTCAATTCAGCCTCTATTTTTTTTTCATTTCCCTCATTTTTTTTCCTTTCAATTTTATTTTATACAAAGTATTCTCAATTTTATTCTTAAAGTTTTTTAATAATTATCTAGGTTACCTTTGAACTAACCAAATTGATTAGATTATATTATGATAACTCTAAAACTGTTTAATTTTAAACTGAGATTAGATAAGGAGTTGGGTTGAAAGATTTTTGTTCTACCAATTGCATTTTTTCTTTCTTAATTTTATCCTTAAATTTATTTTTTTTACCTATCAGTTGGGTTACTTTTAATCAAGTCGATTAGATCATATTAAAACAACTTCTATATAGTCTAGTTTAAACCTGAGCTAAGTAAAATATAGGATTAAGAGTTTTTTGTTAATTTTTTTTCTATTTTATTCTTATAATTTTTTTTTCTAACCAAGTTGCCTTTTTATAATGCCATGTAATTTCAAAAACATTTCCATCAATCATGTACGTGAAAATAATTTTTTTTAAGTTTAAAATTTCATTTCCCATAATTTATCATCTTGTATTTTTTATAAACATACATAAATAATTCAAAATACAATATATAATGTTATCACACAGTTTCCTATCTCTGTACTAATTTTATAGAATGATTTGTAGAGTAATCTTAGGGATGAAACCATGTGTTAGATGTACTACTAAAACATAATCATTTCTTTTAGCTTATAACAATGTTCATTCATTTTAAACATCCCTATCTCATTTTTCAACTAGCTAATTTTATTTGTTTATTTTAACACCCGTTGAGTTACCTATAATTTGTGAATAATACTTTTCAATTTCCAGTGATATTATGCAAATTAAGACCCATCCATGTCATTTCAATCTTCATATGTTTTACACCTATTTATAGCTTATATATATATATATATATATATATATATTATTTTCAAATATTCTTTATGTCCATTTCTAGTAATCACATCATCACATCGTAGGCTTTAATCTCATTGTGCCATCATTATTTCATTCTTATTATTTTAAGTGCTCATTTAACCAAGATAATATATCATATTTGTAATACCCGTGATTATAGGTGAAATTAAGACAATAATCTCATCTCACATATTTAAAAATAAGCCTTTATATATATATATATATATATATATATATATATCATTAGGAAATTAACATGTTTTACGCAGGTGGGTCCTTCTTCGAAACTACATTCAAATTTTGTTTTTCTCCTTCCTATACAACATTATTATTCAGGACATGTTTGTTTATAAAAAAATATTTTTTTAAAAAAATAATTTTTTTTAAAAATAAATTATTTTTTAATGTTTAATAGTGTAATAAAAAATAAATTGAAAAATATTTTCCAACGTTTGGTTATGTCATGGAAAATAAGATGAAAAATAACTTATTAATATTTTATTTTTCTCAAAATACAAATCTTGGATATTAAAAAGTTGAATGACAATAAAATTGAAAAAAAAATATAATTTCATGAATTATCTCAAATAAAATAAATAATAAAAATAAAATCTAAAAACTAAAAAAATAAAAAGTGAAGAAATTAAAATAACAATAATTAACATTTCATAAATTATTTCAAATAAAATAAGTAACAATCACAAGAATAAGGATCAGATTTAATAGATAAATTTTTTTAATAAAAAATAATAAGAAAAAAACAAATGATAATTATAAAAATAAGAACCAAAGGTACTATAAAAATTAAATTTAAAGAGATGAAATTAAAAAATAAATATTCAAATAATATATATATATATATATATAGCAATCAAAAGTTTGAGGACCAAATTTGATATAATCAATAAATAATGTGACATTTTAAAATTTTTCATAACTTTCAGAAAGTGTTTCCCATCCAAATTTTATAGAAAAACACTTTTCTAGAAACTAAGCTAAATTTTTCTTTGACTGGAAAGTGTTTTTCATTGACCAATTTTTCTAATGGCAAACAAACAAAAATAAAATGTTTTTAGAAAATCATTTTCAAAAACCACTTTAAGGGAAACAAATATAGCCTTATTATCATATTCCAATAAATAATCCTTTTACTTTAATAAAATTTCACTAGAATTTTAGCACACTATCTTGAATTTCATATCTTAAGTCCTATATAGAAAAATATATCTTATTAGTATTTAAAAATACATTTTTATCAAGGTTTTATATCATTATTTTGCACTTGAAGTATCAAATAACTCATTAACTAAAACATGTTTTATAATAACATATCTAATAATGTAAGATACCTTTAATTTGTGGTAAATGTTCATCTTAAATACAAGCTTATCACATAAAATAAAAGGATTGATTGATGAGTTTAAGTATTAAAATTGGAAGGATAAAGAGAAGGCAAAACTTAAAAAAAAGATGTTGGTGCAATCCAAATCAGAATATTGTTCAGTAATCGGGTTATATCCGTAGTTATAGATCTTGGATTTAGATCTAATTTATATAAATAGAAAGGTAAGACATAGGCCTACAACTTTCATATGGAGTCCAAATTTAAAAAGACCATTTTCAAGTCCAAATTGTAGCAACTACAAAGAAGTCTGAATCTGTCCTGCAGCGCAAACAATATTCAGTGTTCAATGATTAGTAGTTAAAAGTGTATTTTTATCAAGGTTTTATATCACCATTTTGCACTTGAAGTATCAATAACTCCTTAACTAAAACATGTTTTATAATAACATATCTAATAATATAAGATACCTTTAATTTGTGGTAAATATTCATTTTAAATGCAGATTTATCACATAAATGAAATGATTAATTGATGAATTTAAGAACTGAAATTGAAAGGACAAAGAGATGGCCAAACTTAGAAAAGAGATGTTGGTGTAGTCCAAATCAGAACACTATTTGGTAATTGGATTATATCTGAAGTTGTAAATCTCGGATTTAGGTCTACTTTATATGGATGAAAAGGTAAGACATAGGCCTACAACTTTCATATGGAGCCTACGATTTAAAAAGGCTATTTTTAAGTCCAAATTATAGCAACAACAAAGAAGTCCGAATCTATCCTACAGCCCGCGCACTATTCAGTGTTTAGCCCATATCTAGAGTTCTAGAAGTCCAAATGACCTTCATTTTTTTTCTAGAAAACTAAGACAATTTTATGTTTTAAGTGGTTCCACTTTTGACGTTATCAATGACGTTTTGGGCAAACAAGAGAAGACAAGGATTGTCACCAAATCAAGAGTTGACCACTCACTCATCAATTAGTCATCAAATCAATAGTTCTCAATTTTGGCCTATAAATAGAGGCATTTGCCATGCATTTAGCATCTTAGTTTCCGGATTAAGATCATGCTCTTGCTTTCTCTCTTTGTATTTTTTGTATTGCTTATGTTTTGCTTTCATTAATACCAAGTTTATGCC